CTGTGGGGGGGGGTGGTATCTTGTGTACCCCGGGCGATAAAGTGCAGCTCGCAGGGGCCCCTAAGGGTGTGTGATAAAAGGGGGGGTGTGATAGCGCGTCCGAACAACCACAGCGTGTGTTTGGGAGCGTAGAGGTGTGCGCGGGCCCAAAGAAGGAGGCGATCTGCTGTGGCGCCTGCGCTGCTGCAGTCGAAGCAGTTGTCGAAGGAGCGGAGGTACTTGCGGCTGCACTCTGCTCTGCCTGCACGTGCATGTTGTTGGGGGTCTCCATGCGGGGTGTTTCCCCTCACACAGCTGCCGTGGCTGTGTGTGTGATGCCCAGGGCAGATGCTGTCACCCCGGTGATAGAGAAGGAGGGGCCCCGTGACTATATGCGGCGTAACTAAAAATATCACTGGGGTGTGTTATCATATGTAACCCCGGTGATAAATCGATGGTTTGTCAGAAGCGCCCAAAACTATCACCGGGGTGTCGTATTCCGTGGGGGGTGTGCTTTCTTATGTAGGTGTGTTATCTTGTGTCATATACGGTAGATATCAGCAAGATATGTACCTCCACTCCGATCGTTTGTGCGCCAATGGTTTACAGCGCTTCCACATCTGTCGCCCTCCGTAGGGGGCTTAACGAAAAAACGCAGCGATCGATCGGTCGTATGTTTGATGGTTCTCGCGCAAGAACGCAGTACATCAGAGGTCTCGCCAACAACAGTAATGAAAGAAATATCAAGAACAATTATGGGCAGACACAACCCAACACAAACCACATACAACAGCCACAATCATACAAATGGTGTTTTCGTTCCTGCGGGCATCAGCGATACTTCAGTATGCATGCAGACTCAGAAATATGCCGCGTTTATCTATTTAGCAGATGTTTCTCAACACCCACTGCTTTAGAATACGTCAACACACCCCATCGATTGGAGGAGTTATTATCCCGAAGGGGTACTCCTCCTGTTTATGGTACTCGTGTTTTCTACTGAACATAACATGACCAAGTAATCGTCCCTCTCTGTGACTGTTTGTCATTACCATTGGTATTTTGCCAAAAACAACAACAACATACCATGACGTGCCGGTACGCCCCCTCCAAGTCGAACGCCTTCTGCGGATGCCCGTTGAGGATAACGTCATCAACACCGTCCTGCTTGAGCGACACCAGCATCTCCTCTCCCACGGGATTCAAAGGAAACATCACGGAATTGCCTTGTGGGAGGGAGGTGGCACGATGCAAGGAAAGGGGAGGCGGGGGGGGGGGGGGGGGGGGACCGCCAGGCCTGGATGCCGTAGTCGTTAGACCATTGACCTCTCGACCTCTCGCATCCCTACAAAGCTGGGACGGAGCACGCCGGGTTCTCACCGGACCATGCTCTTACATCACCAAGCGTGAAGCGCCGTGACGCAGCGAGTCGCATGGAGGGTGCGCTGCATCATTCTGCTAAATAGGGGAGTTGTCGCGCTGGTTGATTTATTGCTCTTCAGAGCTGGCTAGAAACTGGGGGGAGTCAACGACACATTTAAGTGGCGGGGTAGCAACGTGTCAGTGTGGTTGATGGACGGCATGGAGACAAGCGCGTTCGTCGCTGAAAGGAAACTGAACGAACCTATTCTACAAAGGCGAACGAGCGGAGAAATGAAACACAGCAAAACCATAGCCAAAACAAACGAAGCAATAGGGAGGGGTGAAACAAACAAAAAAAGAGTACAAGAACTAATGGACACAAAGAACGAGCCGCCATGTAGCAATCGATGCCCGCGAGATCGTGTCGAACGCTGGGTGGGCAAGCAAGCACGTGCATACATACAGTCAGCACAGCAGCACACACCTGGCAACGGGAGCACGACGTGCTTGATGGTGAACACCCCCGCCCGGGCGGCCTCCGCCGTGACCCTCACCACCTCCTCCTGACCCCCCCCCCGTCTTCCGCCGCCTTCTTGTTCGCGACCGTCTCTATTCCCCCCGCGGCCCCTCCGCCCCCCCCCCGCCGGGGCTCCCCTGCTGGCCCCGGGGGCCCCCCCCCTTTATAAAGAGGGGTTTTCCCTTTTTTTTTTCTTTTTGCCCCCGTCGGGGCCAG